GATGCCCACACCTCGCACAGGCAGCAGCTGCCCAGGGACCAGGGTGCTGGGCTGGGCTTGGGGTGCCGGCCTTGGGGCTCAGACTTAAGGGGAGAACTGACCAGGGCTCGGTGGGGACACCCAGGTGGAGTAAAGGGTGGGGAGAGCCCAGCCAGCATGGCCTGGGGGTTGAGCATCAACCTCTGAACCAGGAGGTCACAGTTCAATTCCCGGTCAGGGCACAGGCCTGGGTTGTGGGCTTGATCCTGTGGGGGGGCAGGCAGGAGGCAGCGGGTCCATGTTCCTCTCTCATCACGGATGTTTCTCTTTCTCTTCCTCTCTGAAATCAATAAGAAAATATAACAAGAACAGACCCAGAGATAAGGAGCCCTGGGTCAGACTGTTGGACCTAAGAGGGAGGGTGGGGATAAAAGGGAGAGATCAACCAAAGGGCTTATGTGCACACATATGAGTCTAACCAGTGGTCAAGGACAATAGGGGGTGGGGGCATGTGTGTGTGTGTGTGGGACTGGAATGGGGGGTTGAGGACAAATATGTGATACCTTAATCAATAAAGAAATTTTTTAAAAATATATTTTATTGATTTCTTACAGAGAGGAAGGGAGAGGAGAGGGATAGACAGCTACCGTAGAAACATCAATGAGAGAGAGACATTGACCAGCTGCCTCCTGCACACGCCACACCAGGGATGTGCCCGCAACCAATGTACAAGCCCTTGACCGGAATCGAACCTGAGACCCTTCAGTCCGCAGATGGATGCTCTATCCACTGAGCCAAACCAGTTTTGGCAATAAGTTTTTTAAAAATAAAAATTTTATATATATATATTTTTTTTTTCTTTGCTTTGCTTTAGGAGAAAGGGGAGGGGTAAATCAGGAGGAACCATGGATGGTCACGGGGTCCCAGCGGGCAGGGCAGTCCGTGCCGTGGGGCAGAGGTGTGGCGGTGGATGCCTGAGGTCTGTGCCCGGTGCCAGGGAAGAGGCTGGCGGAGAGGCGGTGGCACAGGTCCTGCCGGACAGGAAGCCCGACGTAGGTCCAAGCCCTGCTGGGCCTGACGGTGCCTGGTGCACACTGACCTCGCACACAGTGGGCAGCAGGCCCTCTGCTTCCGGCGGCCAGGCCCCGCAGCCGCCTCCTGGTGCTGCCCGCCCACGGTGCTCCCACTCCGGCCGGCTCCACTGTGGGGTTCACAAAGGGTCCTGGGTTGGCCTCTGTCAGGGCCCATGTATCTCCTGAGAGTGTCCTGAGCCCTTAACATAAACTGGGTCCCAGTTCCCATGTGGCCCCCAGCTCCCCCACCCACCCAGGGCCCTCCCAGCCTGTCCTGAGAGACCCTGAGCCGCCCCCCAGCCCGGGCGAGGTCACAGCCTCAGAGGCAGCCCAGCTGCTGCCCACCTGCCCCAGGACCCAGCCCCTCCACAGCCCCCGGGTGGGCGGGCACTCATGCCCAACACTGGTGCCAGGCATGGGGCAGGGATGCCTCCCTCGTCCCAGCCCTGGGGCCCGGCTCCCGCACAGGGAGTCCCCGTCTCTGTACCCCACTTCACAGCGGCCCCCCGCGCACAGGCCCACAAAGTCACCAGGGGGCGCCCCCATCGGTCCCTCCGGCAGGCCCAGGCCCTTGTGAGCCCCACACAGCCCCACCCGGGAGTCCTTGACCCTCCGCCCCGGGTGCCGAGCCAAGTCCCGTGTCCCACACCCGCGCTCCTGTCCCAGGTCGCTGGCCGGGCCCCAGCACGGGGCTCTGATCTCCTGCCAGGCCTCTTAACACAGGCCGGGGGCGGGGCCGCCCCACGGGCCCCTCGTCCCGGCCTCTGTTGCGCTGCCCATCCCTGGCACGGCAGGCCTGGCGGACAGCTGGGGCGCTCGGCGCGCCTTTGAAGGCCGGGGCTGGGCAGCGGCGGGGCAGTCACACCCGAGGGTGGCAGAGCCCCGGCAGCCCTTTTAAGTTCCCGCCTTCAAGGGACCAGCTGCCCGGATGGATCAGAGCACCTGGGGCTGTGCCTGCCTGGCACCCGCCCACCCAGCTCCCTACGCCCACCCGGGACCACGGGGGCCTCCCGGCTCGGCCTGGTCTGGTGGTCCCCCCTCCACCTCCAGCCTGGGAGCTCCAGGGCAGGGCCCAGACCCCAGCCCGCCCGAGAACCCTGAGCTGAGACAGCGGCATCTGTGTTCCTGCTGGTGAACCCATAGAGTTGGTGAACCCACTGGCCTTTCTGCCTGTGGCCAAGGGCGTTTGGGGGCCTGGTCTGTCCGTCCGTCCGTCCAGGGCAACCACGAAGGGGCCCGGGAGCCCAGGGCTCCGCCCACAGAGCCGGCAGGGCCATGGCCCAGCCAGCGCCTTACCCCTGGGTGACTGGGGTCCTCCTGGCCCCTGACTCCTCCTGGCATCCTGACGTGTCCTGCCCACCAAGCCCCCCATGGCCACACCCCCACCCAGGCCCCCCTGGCACCCAGAGCCCGGCCCGGGAGTCCCCCAGGGAGCAGAGAGCAGCAGCCCACCAGGGTCTGCCTGTGAGCTAGTCAGTCAACGCCGGTCAGGGTGGACGTGGCGCCCCTCAGCCTGCACACCTCACAGCCCTCTCCCCCGTCTGACCCCCTGCGGAGGGGGCCCAGGACTGTCCACTGCGGGAGAAAGGAAGTGAGATTCCGTCCGGGGTGTGGGGCAGGGCACCTTTGCAACGTGGGGGGACAGAGCCGAGGTTGAGGGGCGTCCTGTGGGCCCTGAGGTCACCTCGGGGTCAGGGCGGGCAGCTCTGAGCTGGAGACGGCCCAGGCCAGGACGCTGTGGGGTCACAGCTGGGGCTGGGCCGGGCTGAGGGTCTGAGGCTGGGAGCCAACCCCTCCTGGCAGCTCCTGAGGACGAGGGGGCAGGAGAGACCGAGGACAGGGGAGGGGGCGGAGCCAGGGTGTGGCCTTGGGCAGGGGGCTTGGTCCCTAAACAGCCAGCACCCCGGAGCGGCCCCTGGGAGGGGAGCGGAGCAAGGCCCTGCCAGGCCCTCGCGCTCATGAGACTCCCCCGGGGCTGCGGGCCGTCCCCTGGGGCCCCGTGGGCAGCACAAGGCCAGGCTCCCGGCTCCTGGAAGTTCTGGGGGCTGCCCCTCCCCCCAGAGGGCCGGCCCCGAGACATTCCCCGACCTTGTGTCCAGATGGCACACTGCCCAAGGTCTCTCCACCACTGGACAGAGGTCTCCGCTGCCAAGGTCACTCCCTCTCCCCGCCCCTCAGACTAAAACCAGCCATGCGGCTTCCCCGCCCCCGAGCCAGCTGTCTGGAGAACACGTCTGCGGGCCCCCCGGCTCCTCGGTCCCTGCACCCCCACACCGCCCGCTCAGCAGGGCCCCCAACACCTGGGCCGGACCGTCCACGGGGCTGGCCCCTGCCTCCTTGGGGCCAGGAGGGGGTCCCCAAGAAGCATGTAGGACAATGTTGGGATGAGGGCACCCCTCAGGGGACCCCTTTCCTGCACAGCACGGAGGCCCTGGGGGCCCGTAAGGAGGGGCCCCAGGGTGAGAAGCTGAGGGAGGGGGGCCCCACCCTGACCTTGGGGAGCCCAGCAGGGCCTGGGAGGAGGATGGTGGGGCTCCCATCCAGCAGGTCAGAGCCTGTTCTTGTCGGAGAAGCCGAGACCCCGCACTGGCCTGGCCATGCCCTGGACCCAGCAAGGCCCTGCCCTCCCACCAGACACCTCTGCCGGCGGCTCTGCCATCACCATGCCATCTTAGTGCCTTCCCTGAGGCTGCCCGCAGCGCGGCCACGGCCCTGGAGCCTCAGCATCCCCACGGGGAGCAAGGCCTGCACACAGCACAGCCCGGGGCGACTGGACAGGGTGCCCCACAGGCAGGAGGGGCCTGAGTGGAGGTGACCTCACAGCCCAGCCCAGCCCTCTGAGGGCCAGCGGAGCCCAGAAGGTGGGGTCGTGGGGCTGCACCAGAGGGGCCTTCACTGGGCCAGGTGCCGGGGCTGCAGCTACCACAGAGGTGGAGGGGGGTGGGAGCAGGGCTTCTGTCTCAGGGGCTGAGGGTGGGCCCTGGACTCCCAGGGCCCAGGCTGGACCTCAGGCTCAGCAATGGCCTCAGAGCCCAAGGCACAGGCCCACACAGGCACACGTGTGCACACACACACACATACAGACACAGGCCCGCAGCGTGCATACACGTGTACACAGGCTCATGGCACACTCACACACACGTAGACACCGGCCCCCATACAGACATGTAGACACAGACCCACATGCACACCCACAGGCCCGTGCACACCTGTACAGGCATCCCACACACGTGCACACATCTGTAAAGAAGCACACACAGGCAGACACTGGTTTAGAGAAAAAGAATGCACATTTTCTTGTTTAACAAAATAAATTAAATATACGAAGCTTCAGCTCAAACTCTATATAAAATTACAGAGGTCAGGGCCCCTCGGGCAGCGGGTGCCCGGCCCCACGCGGGACGCCCTGCCGGCCACGAGGCCAGTGGGTGCCGGGCCCTGGGAGAGGCCGGGTCTGTGCCCGGCGCTCCTCTTGCCATTAATATTATTATCTTAATTTTTAAATATAAATACCAGGCCCCTCTCTCCGGCAGGGAGGCCGGTGACGAGGTACGCCGGCTGGGCCCTGCTTCTCCGGACAGGGCTGGGCCCGCTGCCCGACGCCCGGCCCAGGACACGGGGCTCCTGCACGCTGGACGGGAGGCGGCAAACAGCCCCCCTGCCGAGCGGGGCCGGGGTTTTTGGTTTGCTAAGCTGGGGGCCTCAGATCTCCTGCCGGGCTGGGTGAAACCCTCCTCACAGGCCGGGGCTTCCTGCAAGGGCCAGCGCGGTGCCCATGGGCAGGCCTGTGCGGGGCACGCATGTGTGTGTGTGTGTGTGTGTATGTGTGTGTGTGTGTGTGTGTGTGTGCGCTGCTGCTGGCCAGGCCCCTCTGCCCACCTGGCCGCCCTCCCCGTGCCCCCGGGGTGCCCACCGCCCCGCTGTGCGCCGGGGCCCCAGAGCAGCGCCCTAGCACTGGTAGTGGATGTGCTGGTGCTGGTGGACCTTGCCCTCCACGTGCGAGTGCGTGTGCGAGTGCGTGTGCGTGTGTGTGTGCGTGTGCACATCCGTGTAGAGCTTGGGGTACAGCTTGGGGCCCAGCAGGTGCGGGGGGCCCGCGGGGACGAGCTCCTCGCACAGCCCCACGCCGGGCGGCCCGGGCAGGTCCTTGTCGGCGCCGCGGTCGCGAGGGGCCCCGGGCGCCCGGTGTGCGGACGGGAGGGGCGCGGGCACGGCGCACGGCTTCCGCTTGGCCTGGCACAGCCACAGCAGCACGGTGCCCAGGATGAACACGGCGCCGGCCGGGATGCCGATCACCACGGGCCATGGCAGGCTGCTGGCCGAGGACGAGGGCGCCACGGGGGGCCCCGGCGGCTTCGGGTCTTCAGAAGAGAATGGGGTGTTAGGGCGTCTGCGGGCCTGGCCGGCTGGGCGGGGCGGGGTGGGAGGACGCGGGGCGGGCGGACGCGGGGCGGGAGGACTCGGGGCAGGTGGACACTGGGCGGGCGGACGCGGGGCGGGGCGGGGCGGGAGGACGCGGGGCGGGGCGGGAGGACGCGGGGCGGGCGGACTCGGGGCAGGTGGACACTGGGCGGGCGGACGCGGGGCGGGGCGGGGCGGGAGGACGCGGGGCGGGCGGACGCGGGGCGGGCGGACGCGGGGCGGGAGGACTCGGGGCAGGTGGACACCGGGCGGGCGGACGCGGGGCGGGGCGGGAGGACGCGGGGCGGGAGGACGCGGGGCTGGAGGACTCGGGGCAGGTGGACACCGGGCGGGCGGACGCGGGGCGGGCGGACGGGGCGGCACCTGGCAGCACGGTGAGGAAGGCGCTGCGGAAGCTGTAGCCCATGGTGTTGGCGCCCAGGCAGATGTACATGCCCGCGTCGTCCTGCCGGGCGCGCGTGATGAGCAGCTTGTTGAGGTAGGAGCCGTCGGGCCGCGACCACACGTCGCCCGTGGGCAGCACCACGAACTTCTGGCCGCCCACGTCGATGGTGGAGTTGTAGCGGCCCTCGGCGCCGTACTCCACGCGCTTCAGCCACTGGATCACCGGCTTCACGTCGCTGCGCACCTTGCACTGGAAGGACGTGGTGCCCCCGAAGTCCACCGTGGTGTTCACGGGGTGCGTGCCCGTGAGGACGGGCTTGGAGCGCGTGCGCTCTGCGGGAGAGGGCGTGTGGGTGCCTCCCTGTCCCCTTCACCCCGCCCACCCGCCGGCCCCGCCCACCCGCCGGCCCCGCCCACCTGCCGGCCCCACCCGCCCCATCCCCGCCGGCCCCGCCCCACCCTCATCCCAACCGGCCCCGCCCACCCTCATCCGCACAGGCCCCGCCCCACCCTCATCCCAACCGGCCCCGCCCACCCTCATCCCCACAGGCCCCGCCCCACCCTCATCCCGCCGGCCCCGCCCCCATTCTCGCAGGCCCCGCCCCCGCCCCGCAGGCCCCACAGCCCCGCCCCGCACTCACGGATCACGTCCAGCTTGTAGGTGGCGTTGATGGCGCCCGCGCGGTTGGACACGCGGCACGTGTACTTGCCGCTGTCCTCGGGCCGCAGGTTCTTGAGGCTCAGCGTCCACTTCCGCCGGTGCTCGCCCGCCTCGGGCCGCGTCAGCGCCTGGTCGTCCTTCAGCCACACGATGTCCGGCCGCGGGTGCCCGCTGGCCACGCACTTGAGCCGCACGGAGCTGCCCACGGGCCGCGCGATCACGCGGCGCCGCATCTTGGAGGGCTGCGTGAAGCGGGGCCGCGCTGCGGGGAGGCCAGGGGGAGGTCAGGGGCCGGCAGGAGGGCCCGCACCCAGGGGACCGGGGTCACCGTGCTCACCCCACTGCTTGCTGGCCGGGTCCTCCTGGCCCCCGGAGGAGCCCTCGTGCCCCGGGCTCTCCCTGGCCGGGCTGGTGTCCTCTGCGGGGGACAAGGAGGGGTCGTGAGAGGGGCCCGCCCCCAGACGGCTGGTTCCCAGGCCCAGGCCGCCCAGCTGGGAAAGCTCTGGAGGCACACCCACATCCCAGGCCCAGACAGCTGGCAGGCCCACCCCCGGGTGCAGGTGACCCTGACAGGCCGGCGGGGGGCAGAGGGGGGGCTGAGAGCCGGCCCTCGCCCGGCTCCGGGGGTCTGCGGCCGGAGAGGGGCAGCCGCGGCAGCTGCAGTAACCCTAGCCCACATCAAGGTGCCGCAGGCCGGGGCAGCGGCATGGCCCGCATACCACCCAGGCTCTCCCCTCGAGTGGACAGTGCGGGAGGGGGTGCCCGCGTGGTCCCATTCCAAGCCAGAGGGGCCCCTCAAGGGGGTGCTCGCTGAGGAACGCCTCCCCCAGACATCTCCCCCCAACCCAGGACCCCACCCGGGACCCAGCGGAGGGGGGGCAGCATTGCGGGGCTCCTGCTTTGCCCACCCTGGGGAGACCCCTTCCCCAGGGGACCCGGGCAGCGCGGGGAAGGCTGGAGGCCCAGCCGGCAGGGAGCGCAGGGCGTGGCCGGGACAACGCCCAGGCCCGAGCACAACAGAAGGTCCTTGGCTCGGCTGGGCGGCCCCTCTGAACTCCGAAACCCGAGCCTCAAAGGCACCCAGGCCACTGGCTGGCCGCCGGCCGCACGCCCTGCAGCGGGACCACCCTCCGGGCCCGGCACCACCCGCTGCCCCTGCCGCCCCGCCCGGGGCCGGACCCCAGCAGGAAGGCCGGGAGGAGGGGCCCAGCGGGAGGGGCGGCCAGGCAGGGGCAGCTGGACTCGGGGCAGGGCCTGGCTCAGGCGGACGGACCCAGGACGATGAGCGTGTAGTTGACGCTGAGGCTGCCGAAGCCGTTGGTGGCCTTGCACACGTAGGCGCCCGCGTCCTCCCGCTCCACCTCCTTCACCCGCAGGCTCTGCGGCAGCACCCGGAAGCGGCTCCAGCCGCCGTGGATGGTGCGGCCGTCCTTGGTCCACATGGTCAGCGGCGGCGGGTCGCCCTCCACCGGGCACTGCAGCCGCACGGTGCGGCCTAGCCGGGCCACCAGCCGGGGCACCACCTTGTCCGCCATCCTCGGGGGGCCTGCGGGCGGGGGAGCGAGGTCAGGGCTGCAGGCACCGGGAGCCGGGGGAGGGGCCGTCCCCGTCCTGCCCAGCACAGATCTGGGGGCCGAGGTGAGGACCCTCCTCCCGGACACGTGTCCACGGGAGAGCAGGGCCCCCCCACGACCCCGTGTCTGTGTGTGCACCCGTGTTGCACGAGTCGAGTGGCACCGCATGGTACCCCGTGTCCAGGGTACCCGTGTTGTGTGTGCAGGGACCGGTCGCCTGGGCCAAGGCCTCCCTGCTGCCAGCCACACCCCACCCGTAGCTGAGCCCAGGCGCGGGGTCACGGGGCCAGTGGTGGGCACCTTGGCCCAGATTCAGGGCTCCTGTCCGGCTGGCGGTCTGTGCCCACTGCCAACCAAGGTAGAAGCCACATCCCAGGCCGAGGCCCGCACCCCTCCCCACCGGCAGACCCCCTCCCACCCCCTCGGAGGGTCCACCTCGGAGTCAAGTGAGGGGCCATGGGGACCAGGACTGGAGGGGCCTGAGTGACTGGCTGGCTGGGAAGGACACTGCCCGTCAGGGTCCCCCCCAACCGCCCCACACCCACACCCACCCCCCACCTGCCACCCCCCACCCCCACCCCAGCCTGTGGCCGAGGCTCCGAGCTGGGCAGTACACGTGCAGCTCTGGGTGATGGCCCCCGGGCGCTGGACCTCGCCCACTACACCCACCCTGGGGAGCACCCCCAGGCACCCAGCTGCCCTCCCGGGCTCCCGGGACCCGCTAGCACCCCGCCACAGCCATGGCCCGTGTCCTGGCCTCACGGGGTGCCCGGGGGTGAACCTGGGACCTTTCAGTCCGCAGGCCGACATTCTACCCTCTGAGCCACACCAGCCAGTGCTCCTTCCACAGGCGGCTACCAGCTGCTGGCCGCGGGCCTGTGCCCCCGGGGCCCCAAGGGCCCCTGCGGGTCCATAAAGATGGCCGGCAGCAGCTTCTGCCTCGCCATCGCCCGCCTCCTGGCGCCTCCAGAGCCCTGAGGGAGGGGCAGGGCCATCCATGTAAACAGAGGGGCCCTGGCCGGCGCGGCCCAGTGGACAGAGCGCTGCCTGCGGACCGAAGGACCCGGGTTCGATTCCGGTCGGGGGCACGGACCTCAGCTGCAGGCTCGGGGCGCGTGCAGGAGGCCGCCGGCCGGTGTGTCTCTCCCTCTCCCTTCCACTCTCTAAAGATCACTGGAAGAGCATCCTCAGGTGAGGACTTGAAAAATAACGAGGGAACTGACAGCTCAGGTTCAGGGTCTCTGGGCTCCCAGAGGGCAGGGACTCCTCCCAGCCACCCCTCCATGCCCTCACCCTGCCCGGCTCACCCCGCTCCACCAGTCCCCCCCCCCACCCCGCCTCTGCTCAGGTCCCTCCCACCCACCACATGGCTCCCCGCCTGTGCACCTTGACCACAGGCCACCGTGCTCCCCGCTAGCCCCTCCTCATCGGCTCCCCCCTCCCCCCAAGGGACGAAAGCAGAGGTCAGGGGTCTGAGACCCACCTTTCTCTAATGACTAAACTGTCTGCAGCCCACCCCACCCTGCACCCTCACCCCCAGCACCCCCTCCCCCCTCCCCCCCAGGACCCACAGACAAGGCCCAGCCTCATTCCCGGCAGACCCTGTCCACCACCTGTCACCGCCTGAAATTCCACCGAGCACAGGCCCAGCCAGGACAAAGAGGGTCCCGCCAGCCTGCCTGGCCCTGGGCTGCCACCTGGGCTCGCTCAGACCCATGACTGTTCCAGTGCAGGGAGGGGGCAGTGCCAGGCCGGGGGCTGCCTGGCCCAGCAGCACCGGGGGGCACACGGGGCTGGCCCAACACCCATTCCCCAGAGGAGCCTGTTCCGGCAGAGAGGACTGAGCTGCCCGGGGGGGCCCCTCGAGGCCCAGCCCACCCTGACAGGCCAGCGGGGAGCGGGCGGGGCCCACAGCCGCTGATGCGTGCAGACGGGAGACACAGGGACGCAGCCAGGCGCCTGCAGACGCAGGAAGTGTGGCCCCAGGCGGTCCGAGCGTGCTGGGGGACCGGCGGCTGGAGCCAGCCTTATCCTAAAGCAAACACCCTCCCCGCCCTGGGCCAGCCTGCCGGCCCGCCCCGCCCGCTGGACCCGAGGCCAGGCCGGCCCGGGGCCACCCCCACCGCCGCGCAGAGACCCCGTGGGCGGCGGGCCGGCCATCCTCCCCCCGGATTCCTGGGAATTCTGGCCGTCGGCGTGGCTGCGGTCTATATTTAGCCTGGGAAACACAAGCCCCCATTGTGCCACCTGGGCAGGCAGTCCGGCCTCAGCCGCGGACACGGAGGCCGGCGGCCCGAGGACACCGGAGGCGTGGTGTGCCTGGGAGGGTGTCCGCCCCTCCCACCCCGCCCCCTCCGTCCCCGCGGCACCCCCTTCCGGGAGCCCCCAACCTGCCGCAGCCGGAGCCACAGCCGCGTTCCGGCGTTCCGGCACGGGCAGGACCCGGCGGCCGTGCAGGGGGGCCGCCATAGAGGGAGGGAGGGAACTCTCTCTCCTTCCTCCTCCCCGAGCGTGAGGCCGCGGCAGGAGAGGGGTGCCAGGAGGGGCCGGCGGGCAGCGACCGGAGCCCGCACCAGCCACGCCAGGCTGCCCAGCTGCTCCCGGAGCCCAGGGGCACACAGACCTGTCACACGTATGTCCCCAGGTGTGCAGGCACACGCACACGCGCGCACGCACATACACACGCGCGCGCGCGCACACAGGGGGTGTAGGCTCCTCCCTGAGGGACAAAGCCCACCTCTGAGCACCTGAGACCCAGGCCACCCCCACCTGCCTGCCTGGCCGGGTTCAATAACACGCGGTCCCCCTTAAACCCAGAGACGCCCAGGCAGGCAGAGGGCGGGGCGATGGGTGGGAGGCGAGTGGCCCAGAGAGAGGGGTGGGCCGGACCCGCTGCACCACCATCAGCCTCCACACCTCGCTGACCCCGGGCCTCCACTCCGACCCCCGACCCCCGACCCCCGTCCTCCAGGCTCCCACTTCCCTGGGCTGATCCTGGGCCTCTCCCCACTGCCCAGGGCACCTGTGGGCCTGACCTGCTGACCAGGCGTCCCTCCAGGGGGGCAGGTGCCTGGCTCAGGCTCCCCCACACCCCCCGTCGGGTCCCCCCACCCTGGTGGCCACAGATGCAGACGGAGGGAGTGTCCAGGGACCCCCTGGCCAGTTCAGCGGGGTCAGCTCCGCTCAGCACGCCCTGCAAAGCCCCAGGTGGTCTCTCTGGCCGGGGGTGGGTGGCATCAGGCCCCTCGTGCAGGGGCCAGCCACGGGGCGAAGGTGCCACGGGAGCCACTGACCTGCTGGGCCCACCCCTCCTGGAGGAACCACACAGCCTGGGGACAGCCTGGGGGGCCCGGTCCAGCCTGAGTGCCCACAGTGGACGGGACAGGAGGGCGGGGCCCACGTCCTCACCCCACAGTGAGAGCGCCGGCAGAGCCCGCTGGGGAGCCCGCACACGGTGCCCCCAGGCCAGCCCCTCCCCCAGGAGGTGGGACGTGGGCACGGCGGACGACCAGGGCAGGGCCCGAGGGGCAGGCCAGGCCAGGCGCCGCTTCCAAGCCTGTCAGATACCCCCCCACACACACACACACACACACACACACACACGTACACACACACACGCACACACACACGCACGCACACTCACACGGCCCAGTCCTTGGGCGGCCCCTGGGGCTGGACCACGGGATCCGGGCGGAACTGGTAGGACCCGCAGGACAGGTGGTTGCCCTGGAAACCAGGCCATTCGGGCGGGGCCGGGGACGGCCTGACCCTCCGAGCAGCCGGCGGGCAGGCGCTGGAACGTCCGTCCCCTCCTGCCCGCGGGGCCCCAGGCGGGCCGATAGGTCTGCTTCCTCCCCTGGAGTCCTCGGGGGTCGGTCACAGGAAGTCCTTGACCACAGGAAGTCCCAGGGGGCACAGACGTCACCCCGATGACGCCACTGCCCTGGGGGAGCCCCACGTAAACGGCCAGCAGCCGGGGCGACCGGTGCCCAGCCAGGGCTCAGCCCGCCCCGCCCAGGTCCACCGGGCTCCCAGGTGGCCCCTGGACCCACAGGTCACAAACCCCGTTCCCTGGGACCTCGGGGCCCAGAAGGCTCTGTCCACTGGGCCTCCTCCAACGCCAGCCTGGACCCACCCCTCTGGACGTGTGCGAAGAGCCTGGCACCCGGGCCAGAAGGTGGCTCTGGCACACCGGGCAGCCCAGCCCACCCAGCTCTGACACTGGGCACCCCCAGGCCTGAGGGCCCCTTGCGCCCGCCCCTGCCGGTGCCCGCACCGTGGCCCACCGCGGCCCACCAGGCTCCAAGGACGGGCCGGGGCCGGGCCGCCACCTGGAGGGAACAGGTCAGGTCGAGGCCCACAGGGCAGGGCAGGCCGGGCGGGAGCCAGAGGCAGCCCCAGCCGAGCCCAGACGGATGGATGGACGAGGAGCCGTTGTGTGCTCGGCTCTTCAGGCTCAGCACTGTGGGGGCCGAGGGGGTCCCCGTCCAGGTCTGAGGCCGCTGAGCCCAGTGTGGGGTCTGGGCAGGCCACAGGCTGGGCCGCGGCCGGCTGGGGCCGCGGTGCTGGCAGGAGCCGGCCGTCGATCCCGCACAATGGAGCAGCCAGCTTCCAGCCCAGCCAAGGCTGTTCGCGGCTCCCTCCTCCCCCTCCCCTGGGGGCAGTGATTTATCCTCCCGTCCAGGAGCGGGACCAGCACAGGAGGCAGTTGGCCCGAACGCCACCTGGCAGGGCCTGGGCCTGGGCCTGGCTCCCGCACCCACCTCGGCCCCACCGCTCCGCACAGCGGGGCACAGCGGGCAGGGGGCAGGAGAGGGCCCCCACAGCCTGGCCAGAGCGGAGGGCCCCACCACAGCCAGCCGGACCACCGCACACCTTCCTGCTGAGCCACACACCGCAGGCCCGACGGTCCCGAGACCGCCCTCCCTCCCCGTGGGGTCGGGGCCCCCGTGTGCCGGCCGGCACCCAGTCTGGGACCCGTGTTCCGTTCACCGCAGGCGAGCTGGCTGGGCCGAGCAGGGCCGACCTCGGGGCTGGCTGCTCAGAGGCCACTCGGCTGCGCCAACCTGGGAAAGTTCAGACGTGGCACTTCCCGGAAAACCCCGAAACAGCTGCCTCCTGAGCCCCCGTGAGCCCACTCTCCCCCCGTGAGCCCGCAGTGAGCAGCGGACGGACGTAGAGAAAGCCAAATCCTATCTTTCCTCAAGTTTGGGGAAAGAAAACAAGAACCATTCAGACAAACCCACCGAGATTGTGAAACTTTGGGGAAAGGGGAACTTTAAAAACATGATCGGACTCTGGAGATATGGGCCCAGACGCGGTGACACCACGGGCCACGCTCTGCCTGCACACAGGTTCCCAGGGGAGGAGGTCCTCGCACCCGGGTGCCCCGGGCGGGAAGGGCCTCCGTCCAGGCCCCGGGAGCCAGCACATTGCAGGGCGAGCACCCCGCCCTCCCAAAACCACAGAGGCCCTGCCCTTGGATGCGGCCCCCAGCGCCCACTGCCCGAGCCGGGCTGGGCTGGGCTGGGCTGGAGACCGGGCACAGCCCAAGGCCCGGGCTGAGGGGCACCGACTCGGGCCCGATGCCCACTACCATCCACTGCCGGCCGCCATCACCCTCTCTGCTCGGGGACAGCCAACGGCCAGGCCAGGCAGTGGCCTCAGAGCCTCCCTGACCGCGCGGCGAGGGGACCAGCAGATGCGAGGATGGGGGTCCGAGCAGATAAGAGATCCGAGTCCGGGCCGCCCGCTGCTGCCGGGAGGGCCATGCTGACGATGACCGGAGCGCCCGCTGTACCCAGGACGCTCCCCAGCCGTGGCCGGGCAGCCCCCACCTCGGGCCAGCCGGCCAGTGCCCGGCCAGGCGGGCGGAGAGGGGGGTACCGTGGCATGAGGCCCACCTGGGCCGCCGCCCGCCGCCCAACACCCGAACACGGCCATATAAGGCCACGCCGGGCTCGGTGCGCCCGCCGGGTGGCAGGGGAGGGGTGCAAAGTCTGAGAGGACTGGCGGACGGGGCAGGGCCGATCCTGAGTGGTCAGCACGCCCCGAGGTCCCGCCTCGCTGAGGGGAGGCCAGCACTGACCATGGCGGGCACAAGTCCGCGGGCACTCATCGCCCGGTGCCTGCCTGCCAGGCACTGCCCGCTGGCCGGGCTGGGGGCAGGGCAGGGTCCCTCAGGCGCACACGGCCTGCCTGCCCACCGGGACGTCAGGTGGGTGAGCACACGCCCAGCCCTGGCGTGGCGCAGGCGGAGGCACAGAGTGCCGCCCCAGGAGGTAGGCCGTGGGGCCTGCTGTGAACAGGCACCACCCTCTGTGCAGCAACCCAAGATCTGTACTTGAGGGCACCCAGGCCCAGGGCACCAAGAATGTCCCCCCGGTCCGCACACTGGACCCCGGCCACCCTGCGGGGACTCTGCCGGCCCCTGGGGATCTGAGAGTCCACTGTGACCAAACACCTCACCCGCCAAGAGCCCAAGGTGACCAGCTGCCCTGGGGGGCAGGCACGTGTCCTGTGGGTGAGTCCCCAGGCTGAGCTGGGGGCACTGTGGGTAAGAAGGGCCCTGTGGGGTCCCAATGGGTGAGCTGGGGACCCCAGTAGGTAGCAGGGGTCCCTGTGGTAACCTGGGGGCACCCTCAGGGCAGGCTGAGGGTGAGCCCCGTGGGTCACCTGGGTGCCCTGCAGGTGAACTGAGGGGCCACCACGGGAAGGTTGGGGTGCCCGGGGCGGAAGAGGACACCCGCCGGTGAGCCCGGCCTGCGGGCGCGGGCGGAGCGGCGGGCGGGGCGGGGCAGGCACGCGCCGGGCGGGCACTGGGGCAGAGTTGAGGCCGGAGGGAAGGGGGCGGCGCCGGCGGGGCCGGGGCGCGGGCCGGGCGCCAGCACTCACCTCGGGCGGCGGCGGCGGGCGGCAGGGCCCCCAGCAGCAGCGGCGGCAGCAGCAGCAGCAGCAGCGCGGGGCTCGGCGTCATCGCGGCCTCCGACCTGGGGGCGCGGGCGGGGCGGTCACGGGGGCGGGGGCGGCGGGGAGCCGCGGGCACCGGCAGACAAAGGGCTCCCCCGAGGACTCCGCCGCCCGCCCTCGGCCGGCCGGGTGTCCGCGGGCCGGGCCTGCCCGCGGGACCGCGGCGCCGGGGCGGATCGCTGCGCCGGGAGCGGGCGAATCCGCCCGGGGCACGTGGGGCGCGGGGCGGGAGCGGCGGCGGCGGTGCCAGTGCCCGGCGCCCCGCACCGGGACCGGACCCCGGGCCTGCGCCCGGACCCGCGCCCGACCCTCCCGCTGGGCCCCAGGGTCCCCGGGCCGCGGCGCGGGAGCTCACCTCGCGGGGCTCCGGGCGGCGGGCTCAGGGCCGGGCCCGCGGGGCGCGCTGCGCGGTCATCGCCGCCCCGGGCGCCGCCCCCGCCCCGCGCCCCCGGGCCCGGCCTCGGGGCGGCGCGGCGCTACCTGGGCGCGGGCGGCGCGGGCCGGGCCGGGCCGGGCCGGAGGCGGGCGGGCCGGGCGGCGGGCGGCGGGCGGGGCGGCGCGGGGTCCCGGGGCGGCGGGGCGAGGGGCCCGGGCGGCGCGCCGGCCGCGAGGCGTCCTTCCCTGCGGGGCTTTGTCAACTCTCCCGGAGCGAGCGCCGAGCCGCCGCGCGCCCCGCCCCCGCCCAACTTCCCGCCAATCGGCGGGCCGCGGCCCGCGCGCACCGCCCCCGCCCCGCCCCCTCCCGAACTTTCCGCCAATCGGCGCGCGCTCCCGCTGCCCCGCCCGCCGGGCCCGGGGGCTTAACCCTTGCGCTGCGGGCGGCCCGCGGGCGGGGCGTCTCCCTCCGCCCCCCGGGCGCGGCCCCGCCCCGCTCCGCCCGGCCCGCTCCGGGCCGTCCCCTCCCGGCCGCCCGGCCCCACACCGGCCCGGCTCCGCCCCCGCCAGCTCCGCTCGCCGCCAGGTGCCCGGCGCCACCCCGCACCTGCACCCACCCCCGGCCGGGTCCGGGGTCCCAGCCCCGGGCACCCCGCTCCCCGGACCCCGGGCGCTGACCTCGGGCCAGTCCCGCCCGCGGCCCCGGAGAGGCAAACGGGACGGATGGCCTCGGGCGCCTCTGGGCCCGGAGGCGCGTTCCCGGAGCTGCTGGAAGCGGAGGGTCACCCAGCTCGGGTCTGGCTCGGGCCCAGGGGCGGGCGGGCGGGCTCACCGGAGGGGGGGCCTTGGGCGAGGGCGGGTGTGTCCACGCCCCGCCACGGGCGCCGGGCCTCCCGCCACTGAGCAACAAGGAGTGAAACACAGGACCCCGCATCCCGCGCCTCCTCCCGCCCCACAGGCCAGGGTACCGTCCCGGTGCTGGGGGGGGCGATGCGGGCCAGAGCGGGTGTGCCAAGCACCCGCCAGCTCCCAGCCCGGCTCCCTGTCCCTCCTCCAGGGCGCTTTCCCTGCGAGCACCCTGTGCTCCCACCCCCACCCCACCCACCCCTCTGCCGGACCACTGGGCCAGGCGCCCCTGGCTTCCCTCCACTGTCGCTGGAATCAAACACCCTGTTTAAACACAGCCCTCGCTCCGTGCGGCTCACCAGTGCCCAGCACACAAACCCCATGACCTCTGAGGCCCCGGATGCCTGGCCCGGCCGCCTCTAACCCAGTCTGCCCAGCCGGCAGGGCCTCACCCCACGCCCAGTGCGGCCCCTCTCCATCCCCAGGACCTCTGCTTGGCTGTTCCGCTGGGGTCCCTGCCTCCTATCCCTTTCCTCTCAGCCCCCCCCCCCCTCTGAGAAAGCCTTCCGGAGAAGCGGGGGGCTGGGAGGCCCAGGGGCCAGAGGACAGCTCAGGGAGGGGTCCAGCCAGCAGGGTCAGGGCCCATCCAGGCCCCGTCTGCCCACCCGTCCACAGCCAGTGAGCGGCAGGTTCTTGCCCTAGCTGGTGTGCCAGAGCTTTGGCCTGAGGACTGAAGGGTCCTGGGTTCGAATCTGATCAAGGGCACATGCCCAGATTGCAGGCTTGATCCCCAGTAGGCAGCTGATCAATGGTTCTCTCTCATCACTCTCTCTCTCCCTCTCCTTCTCCCTTCCTCTCTGAAATCAATAAATATATATTTTTTTTTTTTTAAAAGAAAACATTAGACAGGTTCTAAGTCCTCTCTCTGGCCAGTGTGAGCACCCGGGATGGGGCAGCGGAGCCCTGGGCAGACCGCCTGGCTGGGGGGCCTGGGCAGCAGGCGGGAGGAAGCCGGGAGCCGAGGCCGCACAGTGGCCTGAGACACAGCGGCCTGAGACGCACCGGCTCTCAGAGGCACCGGCTCTCAGAGGCACCGGCACACAGGTGTGCGGCCGCCGAGGGCAGGTGTGTGGAGACGTGGCTCTGAGTGGGGGAGGTCGGAACAGGAAGCGGGTGGAGGGGCAGCGGGGAGGGTCACAGCAGGTGAGCGGCCACGTGGGGTGGCAGCCCAGGTGCAGCTGTCAGCCGGGGCGGGTGATGGGGAAGGGCTGCCCTACGCGGTGATGCGCTGCCCCCTGGTGGAGGCGCGGGGCGAGGCGGCTCCCCTCCCGGCTGGTCCAGCTCTGAGCCTGCGGTACCCGGCTCCCGGGCTCCCAGCCCCACGCCCACGCCAGGCCTGCTGAGCCCAGCGGAGCCGAGGCCGCTTCCTGTGGGAAGCCCTGAAACCCACAGGCTCCGAGGTCCCTCATGACGACTGTCTGGAACGGGGAACCCATCCAATCTCCTCCTTTTCCACGGGGGCTCAGGGCACCTGGCTGGGCGACCCCGGCTGGCAGAATCACCAGGGGGATGGCAGGGCATTTGTCGCCCCGGCCCAGCACAGGGGAGCCCCTAGAAGTACTGATTTGCTTGTCATAGGTCCTCACGCAGCCAGGCTCGGTCCCGAGGCTGGAGCCGGGGGTGCAGTCAGGAGGCCGGGGGCCAGCAGCAGTGGACGGTCCGAGGCAGGATTAAAACCGCTGGTGCACAGCCTCCGGTTCCCAGTCCGGCCTGATTGGGGGGCCTCCATCCCCAGGAGGGGACGTGCAGGAGCAGCCGATCCCTGATCCTCTCTCATCATGGATGCTTCTATCTCTCTGTCTCCCCTTCTCCCTTCCTCTTTGAAATCAATAAAAATATATTTTAAAAAACTATTTTAAGGAAAACTGACCAGACTCTTTCCGAATGTAACGAGAAATGTAAACCCCACAGTTCGAGAAAGCTCGACACAGTGTAAGCACAAGAAGTGTGAGTGTGGGGGGGGGGGCTACTTAAGCCCTACTCAGCCTGCCAACTGAAGGGTCCCGGGTTTGATTCTGGTCAGGGACATATGCCTGGGTGGCAGGCTCAATCTCCAGTGTGGGGTGTGCAGGAGGCAGCCAATCACCGATTCTCTCTCATCATTGATACTTCTCTCTCTCTCTCCCTCTCCCTACCTCTCTGACATCAATAAAAATATTAAAAAAAAAAAAAAATACTGCTGAAACCGGTTTGGCTCAGTGGATAGAGCGTCAGTCTGCGGACTGAAAGGTCTCTGGTTCGATTCCGGTCAAGGGCACATACCTTGGTTGTGGGCACATCCCCAGTGGGGGTGTGCAAGAGGCAGCTGGTCGATGTTTCTCTCTTGTCGACGTTTCTAACTCTCTATCCCTCTCAATTCCTCTCTGTGTAAAATCAATTTAAAAAAACTACTCCCAGGCATCATTCTCAAAATGCTGAAAACATCCAGAAACATAAAGTTTAAGAGCAGACCACGGTATATGCGGGAACAAGGACAGGAAGCTTTGTTGGGTGTCTTGTCTCATGAACACAATGCAAGCTGAGCAATATCTTTAAAATACTGAACAGAGAAGCCCACTCAACCTCTATTCTTTTTTTTTTTTAATATATTATTGGTTTTTTACAGGGAGGAAGAGAGACGGATAGAAAGCTAGAAACACCGATCAGAGAGGAACATCGATCAGCTGCCTCCTGCACACCCCCTCCTGGGGATGTGCCCACAACCAAGGTACATGCCCTTGTGCAGAATTGAACCTGGGACCTTTCAAACCGCAGGCTGAAGCTCTCTCCACGGAGTCAAACCGGTTAGGCAACCTCTATTCTTTATTAGCAAAAAGATCACTTACTCCCAACTTGTGTTGCTCAGTGGTTGATCGTTGACCCATGAACCATGAGGTCACCGATTAATTTCTGGTCAGGGCACATGGGTTGTAGGCTCAATCCCCAGCAGGGGGCATGCAAAGGCAGCCGATCAATGATTCTCTCTTCATTGATGTTTCTCTCCCTCTCTCCCTTTTCCTTGCTCTCTCTGAAATCAATAAAAACATTTTTTTTAATGGTTTTCATGTTATTCTGGCCTGGTGGCTCAATTGGTTGGAACATTATCCCATACACCAACACACAAAAACACACACACACACACACTCACATACACACTCACACACACACACACACTCACACTCACACACTCACACTCACACACTCACTCACACACACACACTCACACACACACTCACACACACACACTCACACACACACACACTCACACATTCACACACACACACACACACACACTCACACACACACTCACACTCACACACACACTCACTCACACACTCACACTCACACACACACACTCACACACACACTCACACTCACACACACACTCACACTCACACACTCACACACACACTCTCACACACATACACACTCACACACACACTCACACACACACTCACACTCACACACACACTCACACTCACACACTCACACACACACTCACACACACACTCACACACACACACACACTCACACACACACTCACACACTCACACACACACTCACACACACACTCACACACACACTCACACTCACACACACACTCACACTCACACACTCACACACACACACACACACACACACACTCACACACACACTCACACACTCACACACACACACACTCACATACACACTCACACACACACTCACACACACTCACACATTCACACACACACTCACACACACAAA